AAATAAAGGTATTCGGCGAATTAGTTCGTTAATTCCTATATGGCCGATGACTGCGGTCTTGTCGCCCACAATCAGGAAGACTTACAACTCATCATGGACTGCTTCGCAACAGCTTGCTCACGCTTTGGACTTTCAATCAGTCCGAAAAAAGACAGAATTTATGTTTCAACCTGCTCCAAGTAAGCCATATGTTTCACCGAATATCACCATTAGAGATCATATCCTCCATTCTGTTTACAAGTTTACATACTTGGGCAGCACCCTGTCAAGAGAGGTCCACATAGACGGAAAAATCGTACACCAGATATCCAAAGCCAGCTTAGCATTCGGAAGATTTCGTGAGCGTCTGTGGAATTAGAAGAGGCATAAACTTGAAAACAAAGCTGCGTGTCTATCAAGCTGCAGTCCTGACTTCTCTGTTGTATCCCTGTGAAACTTTGGCAACCTACAGCTGCCACATCAGAAAGCTGAACCACTTCCACATTTCCTGTACGCGCAACATCTTACGCATCAGATGGCAAGACAAGGTCCCTGGCGAACTATATATATATAGTTGTGTGAATAGACTCTGTCGTTTTTGACGGTCTATCAATTCGGTAAACTTGTCCTTTGGCACTCACGTGGGCCTACATGCGGCGGCCATGTTGAAGTCAGGGTCGCGCTCTCCTAAATTACGTTGTTCCCGTTCTGGAAACAACTGGAGGCGCAAGTTCGCGTAGCTCAAAGAAGGTGATGGCTTGTACTGTTCAATGCGCAGAGCAGCTCATGCTTCACTGAAACATCACCAACTTCACCCACAAAGTGCTCTATATGAGTGTTCTCTCGTACAGCCGTTGAAGCCCGAGATGACCTCTGATCATGCGCAGCGCAGCAGCCCCCATATACTGAAATTTGTTTTATCTCTACATGGTGAAAATGCATACTAGTTTGCTAAATCATTATTTTGGTCTACCACGAAGTAGTCTGAGTATCACCCGTTATCCACGGAGCCAAGTCTCCTGTATAACGTCTGATATGTCAAAGCATGCAAATTTATGCAATCTCGCGCCTAAGCCAATCGGAGCCAATCGGAGTCGACTTTACTAAATCGTGACGTCATTTCATTTCCAAATCAGGACTGTGATTGGTCAATTCGAAAGCAGTGTTTTGTAATACAACAGCAGCAGGGCGCGTGTCGCGTAAGATAATACAGAAGACCCAAAATATAAAAAGCACCCGCTGATTGGTCAAAATATAGAGGTTAAGATGCGGTTGTCTTGCATAATTGATCAGCAAATCTCCTGAAATGTTATGTTACATTAGATTTAACCAGGAAGCGGAGGTCTTCCAAAACAGGAATTTCCAAAATCTGCCGCACATTAAAATTAAAGACGACTGCCATATTTAGCTTTTCTATTACATTGGTCGCAACTGGTTTTATTGCAATCTTTGCCCATAACAATGTATGTTTAGACACCAAGATCAGGATTCCAGGTAAAGTAGAAGCTGAGATATTGTAAAATATATATTTTCTGTCGGCCATTTCGGAAAATAATTGTCATTGAGGTCAAGGGTCAAATCTGGAATGGCCCTATACCTTAAAATGCTTTTTTTTTCACGGCATTTTTCTAAAAGCCAGATTTCATGCTTTTATTGTCAATTGAACAATGTTTACATCAATCTTGCCTGACCATTTGCTAAACCTGATGCATGCAAATCGGCATCGGCCAAATAAGGGCCTTTTGAATATAAAATTACTGGGAAAATCCATTATTTGTTCATTTATCATTGATAGGAAAGGAAAAGATCAGTATTTTTAGTGCAAAAAGTGTACCGCGAGCAAGTGCCGAGTTTGGAAATGCAGAAACTGAAATTAGATGTACATGCCTAGTGAGGTGTCGAAACGAATTGCTATGCAGGCAAATGATGGTCTCCAATCAATCACTTTACTGTGCAAATGTGTGCCATCTGGGCAAATAATTGGCCAAAAAGGAAGACGCTGGCCACTGTAGAACTAAAGTGCCCGCAGAATTTCCTAGGGAAACGTGTTCACCGAAGCCAGAGGATTCTGCTGGGGCATCTCCATAGATATATTGGACTAATCTTTTTTTCGTTAGTTTGTTTAGTTTTATGATGTCTAACCACCTCTTGACGTAATGTCCTTAGATCTGATGTCCTTAGTTTTCAGCTGCATGGATAGTTTGACAGTGGTAGACTTGGTAAGCAAAGTAGTGAAGAACGCCGTATTCACAAACATTAGAGAATAATTAAGTGACATAAATCTAAGCATATGACTCTCTGACTTGTGATGACATTGTCATGATATCACTAAATATCATGAATAACACATGACATTATTACACCAAGTTACAACTGAATCAGACCTTTAGTTCTCTAGATACAGGCCTCAGAACAAAAATGGCGCTTTAATGCGATGTCACATGACATGTTATGGCGTCATCATAACGTCACATTGTTTTCATCTATAACCCATCCCGGTGTCATATGAAAATCGGACTCGTATGAAAATCGGACTCTTTTTCCCTTTATTGGTTAAACCCTCTCATGTGACCAGCCCCTCTCCTATATTATCTATGCATGAGCATGCGCAATACCACCAATGAGTCCGTATTTCATAAAACCTAAATTCATGCTACACCGGTATAGGTACATAGAAGTTGAAACCAAATCGGACCTATAGTTCTGTAGATATAGACAGTTGAAAATAAACCTCTAAAGATACATAAGACCTGGAAGGATCCCAATTGGGTTTACAAAACACGTTTTAAACGAAATATGAAGTGGAAAGAGCATTTTAAAATAGAATATAAACGTCCCCACAACCATCCTTTAAAACGGGGGCGTTTTTGTGTTATTCTTGCGAGAACCATGCAAGAGTGAATTTCGGGGGTCACAATTTTGTCTCTAAAAAATAGAGCTTTTGAGTGCTAATTGTGATCCAGCTGCAAGAGGTGGTTCGCATTCTGCGGATGTGTAAGAAACAACGTTCGTGTACATACATGTACCCACACACACAACGTGAACGGTTCATTTTACAGACCCGACTTGAAATACGTATGGGTATGCCACAAAATGTTCGTCGCGTCTGATGTAATGAACAACATATTTTTTTCATCTTTTCTTGGGAACGGTAAGACATTAGGTTTGTTTCTTTTCAACCAGACCTTTGAAATTGAATAAGTAAACGATCCAAATCCATCCTGAATTTTTTTGGGATTTCAGGCCGTAATGCCCCTTTCATATGCAAGTCACTCAGATTTATGAAGAAAAAGTGTACAAACCCTATGATCATAAGTGTAGAAGAACTTAACCTCACTCAAACGATAAGCATAAGTCAGGAAGTCACACGCAGAAGATGGAACATGATTGGTCATATTTTAAGGAAAGAACATGATCACCATTGAATGACTGCCCTTAGATGGCAGCCAGATGGAAGGCGAAAATTAGGGAGACCGAAGACAACCTGCAGGCCAGTTGAAAAGGAAAGAAAGCTCGGTGGATGAAGGGAGTGAAATGAAGCCAAGGGTTGCACCCAAAGACAGAGACGAATAAAAACGGAGCGTGATGGCCTTATGTGCCACCAGAGCATGAAGAGGATAGGCACTATGTTAAATAAAGTTACTCACAAATGGCTACGCACTTAATCAGCTTAGCTAATTCGATCTAATTTTATCACAAGAGTGTTCAAAAAATGGTAACATCTATTTTTGTCCAATTGTTATCCCCGTTTGTTGTCAACGTAAGGGTATGCCTGATAATAGAATTATGAAATCAATGTACTTTTACTTAAAACAAAAATCCTTAAAGTCGCTTCTTTGAGGGGGGTGTAATTTGTGAACGAATCCCTCGATTTGAGTCTTAAAGACAAGTTTCCAGGTATTAATTTTCACATGTACATATGTTTTGCTATTTACATATTTTTGCTATTCACTTGGGTGCAACACTCAGGTTAACATAATGTTATATGGGAGAAAAAGTTTATCGTTTTTTTCTATTGATACTGTTAAAAGACTTCTACTCAAAAGTTCGCTCTGGCGACTTTGTGACTCATTTTGTTGGGTTGGGTCACACTTTTGTGCATAGAAATGGCCTCGGACAGCAATAAAAACCATAAAACTCTTGCTGAAAAAAGTAAGTCGGATTTTTTTGTTCTTGGCCAAAAAGGTTTGTATTGCCTTTAGCTTTATAGCCATCATCAGCAACCATGCCCGTAGCCGGTTTTAAACCAGATGTTTAAAACTACTCCACCACACTACAGCGCGTGTCAATAAAAACGCAGGATTCAAAGCGATTTTTTTTCTGAGAAAATTATGCTACTGGTGTGCCTAATTTGATAAGGATTTGATTGTCCATAGTTTCATCTTTGACAAGATTTTTGTTTGGTGGAATTTGGACTTTAGGTTCAAAAGTTATGACAAGTTTTGTGAAGCCCTTCTGAAGCGAGTTGGTCTGATTCAATGACCTTAACACAAACGACCAGTTATGTACAATGCAGGTATGCATTGAAGACAATTAAACCAGAACAAAACTTTCTTTGAAAAAAATGATAAGTATCACTTAAATTTAATAAGTGGACTATCACTGTTTCAAAGCATTATGAATGTCGTCTCTAACATATCAAATAATAGATAATATCAGACTTGCACACATGTCCTTCTTTGTGATCCACAAATACTTTCACCTGTACTGAATTCAAACCTTTCATTAGGTATGTGTGATTTCACAAATCAGACCAGCTTGGAATTTATAACCCTTCTTCAATGTACTCTATCTCTGGACAGGATTGTCCAAATGAGATGGGATAAAAAGCATAGTGAAGAGAAGGAAAGGTGATTTGAAAAGAGGGTTAACATTATGATGAATAGGGGTGGTTTATTTTCTTAATATTTTTGTTTCTAATGACACACGCTGTATTATTCCCTTATGATGAGACAAATACTAAGCCTCATTATTTCACAGCTTCAATGGCATTTCAAACATCTACAACCGAGTTTCCATACCTGTGAATAACGCCACCTGTGACACATGACTTGTATTGGTTCTGGAAGGTCTGGCAGTAGCTGACGCAAGTGCTGCATGATGACTGATTGAACTTCTTCCTTTTCCGCTTCCAGATAATGAATGCCAAATGGTACACTTGTGTGAACCACAAGGGATGGCCCTACAATGCTTGAATCTATGAGACGACAACAAATAATTGAATTCAACAAAGTATTATAGAATAAGGAAGTTATTAATCAAATCAAAAACAAACAAACCCATTTCAAGTTGACGTTAATTAAAAATGAACATTTTATGTCCTCGGCCTATATTCACTGATGAGTTCACTTTTACAAGCTTCTCAGTGATGAAATGTGTGCAACAAACTATTAACACATTTTAAAAAGCAAAATGCAAAAGGCTTACATGTATGTCTGTATGTGTAAACATGTACCTGCATAAATGCACATCTCCAACTGAAAATGGTGTTGGATTAGTTAATTTCTATAGAGTACTCAATACTTTTCAAAATGATGCTGCCCTCAAAATATTTAAAGAGTATATGGGAAAACAGTCAAAATAGTGAGAACCTCTTCAAATGATGTTGGCCAGTTCAGAACCAGGATCTGCAGTTTAGGTGTGCCAATACAAAAGTATATTTAAAGGTAATGAACACCATTTGCAAAAAAATGTATTTTGCTAATTGAAAAGATTTATACAGTATCTGCACAACCAAAAATTATCAAAATTGACCTCATGGTTTTGTAGTTTTTTTTTTAAAACAGTCCGACAGACACTTTCTTGTGGACGTACTGTATAATCTGGAGCAGCTTATTAAAAAACTAACCTGACAAATTTCAGATCAGTAGATATCACACTTCTTATGGAACTGTGAAAATGCAACTTCATTTTTCTCAATGAAAAGCAAGCTTTAAAGTAGAAAGCCTTCTGTTACAACTGATAATGTAATAACCAACAGATAACATATCACCAACTGATAATATAACAACAATAAGCCATTTGCGAGTTAAATTTGAATAAAATCTGGAATGCTGACTTAATCCAATGCTTTGCACGTTTTAACTTTGCATTCTCCCGACCAAAGAGACTGTTACTATAGCACGTGATTCGGGGCAAGCCTTATGCTACGCAACCCCCAGCTCTGGCATGGTCTGGTGTCTTTGTGCCATTCTCACCCATTGTGAACAATGTATTGGTGCCTGAGCGTCTCTTACGTAACTATGCAAGAGCTTGCCCCGAATCATGTGATTAGCAACAGTGTCTTTAGTCTGGAGAATTCAAAGTAAAAATGTGCCAAGCATTTTGAGCAAGTCAGTGTACCAGATGTTTTTCAAATGTAAATCCCATAGGGTATAGGTTACTCGCAAATGGCTTATTGATACTGTATCACTAAGGCCCCCCAAAAAAGTCTCCGGTGTCTGGTATGGAGCTTGCCCAAAAAGTGGTGCGGCGACGCGGCTTTTTTTTTTCCTGACTTTTTTGCTTCAAATGTCGGCTGATGACTGCAAATGGTGCCCGACTAAACTTAGTGCAAATATATGGGAGTCCAGAGAGGCCACATAAAGTTTATTCTCGATCATAACCCCATCTAAAAATACGTTAAAATTGTGCAGCAGCAGGATTCCAGTCAAACCAGTGAGTTTGGCGGTTTTGAGACATCATCTTTCATCTTTCATTGAAAAAAAAACTTATTCATTTTGCCGACGCGCATGGCTACGGCGAAGCGCGCGCATACCAGAAACCGGAGACTTTTTGGGGGGCCTAACTGATAATGTTACAAAAATTGACGAATAATGTTGTAGAATGTACTACACTATCAGTCAATTATTCTCAGACTGCTATAATACACACAACACACACTCATTTTTGTTTGTATGTAATTTGCCACAGCTATTTATTCAACACAACATTGCCAGATACAATGGGCAAACTGGCAAAGAAATACAATATACCGGTAATGGGAAACACCAGATCCCTGGGTTGACCAGACCAAGCCATGAATAGGACACACCAGGCCCACCATATATAGGTCACACAATACCCTGAGATTATGGCACACCAGGCCTACCATATATAGGTCACACCATACCTAGGTCACACAATACCCTGTCACAACAAATTTAAACTGTCATAGTATATTTACATTGTATGATAGGGCAATTAATACTGAATGTAATAAGGTTATTGGCCGTTATGATAGGGCAATGCAAATGTTTAACCCATGTGTCTGTCTAATTCCCGCCAGAATATCTTCCCCCGACTGAACCAACAGGAGGAATAATGGCTCTTGGTATACAAATCCAAGAAACTAATGGAATTAAGTAAGGCATAAGACGTTTATTCCTACGGCAACAACAGAACAGCTAAAAAGATTTTCGTCCCACACGAGTACCCGTTGAATGGAGGTGATGGGGTGGAGGTGGGCAATTTGAAAATAAATTATACTCATTGTGCATCACACAATGGGGCTGTACAAAGTGAGCCTAAACTTGCACTTTCTTTTCCCACCAAAAGCCAACCAGTAATATAAGAAGCTGCCCCATTGGCTGAAAGTTTGATGTCACATGAGTTCTCATTGGTCTAATCCTTCTGTTTTGATTGGCTGACACAGTATGCATATATTAGCACAGGATCCTGTTTACAATCGTGTGTTTTTCACAAAAAGTAAAATGGCATTTTTAGTAAGAAATCCTAAAACAAATCTGTACACTCCTGCACGACAGAAAGCTGTTAAAAAGTACTTTACATACATGAGAATAGTTTTCCACTTGAGAAGCTGATACTGTGCAGAATCTTTTATTTTCCATCCAATTTGTAATGCAATTTGTGCAAGTCAACACATTTACCAATCCTCACACTCCGGCCTTTAACATAACTGCTACCAAATTATTGATTTTTCAGTGAGGCAAAAACACACAGTTGAAAATAAAATGGTTGTTCTATGTCACAAAGTGAAGTGTCCTTTTATAAGTGGAACTTCACTCAAAAGCTTTACACACACACACACATAGCCTACAAGTAGTAATGCATATTCATGAAAAAAGTTTGCCAACTCAGCAGCTGATTGGCTGCTCATGATAGCTCAGGATCCTGTGTTGCCACAAAGTTTGCAATGGCATATTTGTGCAGTAAATCTTACATATAGTACAGGCAATATAAGGTTTGACCTCAAACAAATTGCAACAGAATTTTTTTTTACCACAGTGCATTTCTATAAGGTCCCTTAAATGACATACTAAAAGTCTTAAGAAATCGAGGAGGTGGAAATATGCCTAATTTGCATAAATCCAAAATGGCCGCATACGTTAGGACTTTCTCATTGATTTGGTCATATTTCTCATACTAGGTAGATTTTGGAGGTACTTTAAACAACAGTTTTAGTCCTTTTACATTGATTTACTCATTATTCTAGTCCTAGGTAAATTCCAAGATCCCTATGTTTCCGAAATTTTCCAAATGCCGTATAATTTGCATAAATGCCGTATATCAATTTGCCTAAATTAAAGTTAAAATAATGGATGCCATGTGTGGACATGTACCAATTGAATTTTCCCTGATAATCCAAGTCAAATTTCACACCACAGTGCATTACTATAAGGTCCCTAAAAAGTTGTTAAAAATCCAAGTGGTAGAAATATGCCTAATTTGCATAAATTCAAAAGGCCGCTAATTACATGATTTTCATATGATTTGGCCAAAATAGTATATAGGCCGTTATGTACTTTTGCTTTTTTTTGTTTAAGAAGGAATTTTTGCCACATTTGGAAAGAGTTTACCTCCCTAAGCCGGAAATGCATGGGAGACATTTGTGGCGGCCATCTTGGATTTCAAAATGGCCGCCATTTCGAGCCTAATTTGTATCATAACTTCGGACTTGATTGTCACATGAAGTTCATTTTGTTGGCAAACCCCATGTTTTTGATACCAAGGTACCTGAGTGCATTATTGTTTATGGTGTACTCCAAATGGATGGCAGCCATCTTAGATATTTCAAATATATGGCCGCCATTTTCAGCTTATTTGCAAAATAAATTTGGACTCGAATGGCGTACGAAGTCAATTTCGGTGGCAAACCCCATACATTTGATACCAAGTAATCAAAATAGCCGCCATCTTGGATTTCATTTATAATTACATTGCACCTGAATGTCCTATGAAGTCCATATATTTGAATGAACTCAAGTAAATCACTGTGGACGGGGTACTTGCAGTACTCCACTGGGAGTATACCCCATCAACAATGATTTTCTTGGGTTCCTTGGTATCAAAAACATTGGGCTTGCACCCATGTGGGAGGGGTATAAAACCCTCGCCCACGTATTTTTGGATTGAGTTTTTCGGTTTTTGGTTTATTTCTTTCCCGTAATATATCATTTGATTTTTGTGATTTGTAACTCCTGCGTTAAATCCTCTGTTCTCTTGAGTTATTCCTTGATTTTTGGTCTGAGTAGAGCGGCGCAAGGGTTCGTTCTGCGACACAGGGATATCAAATTTTCCAGCACTTATACCAACTTTGACAAGAGCTAGAAACTTAACAAAAAATATTATACCCCATATGAAACATAGGATCTCAAAGGTACCTCGGACTGGAATGATGATGAAATCAATGTCAAAGGACAAATTGTTGTTCAAAGTACTCCAAAAAGCAATGCAGGACAAGAGTTATGGCCAAATCAAAAATCGTGTAATTAGTGGCCATTTTGAATTAATGCAAATTAGGCATATTTCCACCACTTGGATTCCTTTCCTTTTTTAAGGAACCTTATAGCAATGCACCATGGTGTGAAATTAATTTATGTACATGACTGGACTTGGATTATAAGGGAAAATTTAGTTGTGACATGTCCACACATTACAGCCATAATTTTAACTTTAATCTATGCAAATTAATAAAAGGCATTTATGCAAATTATTATCGGCATATCGCAAATTTGGGAAACATAGGGATATTGAAACTTACCAAGGTCTTGAATAATGAGTAAATCAATGTAAAATGACTAAAATTATTGTTTAAAATACCTCAAAAAGCTACCTAGTATATGAAATATGACCAAATCAGTGCGAAAGTCCTAAAATATGCGGCAATTTTGGATTTATGCAAATTAGGCATATTTCCACCACCTGGATTTTAAAAGACTTTTAGTATGTCAATTTAGGGACCTTATAGAAATGCACTGTGGTGAAAAAAAAATCTGTTGCAATTTGTTTGAGGTTCACTCAAAAAATGAAGTATTTTGCCTGTACTACCTCCCACCTAAGTAGTATAGCAAACCACTGAACATTGCTATTTTCAATAAATTAGGTTATGCATTATGACACTTATTAATTACCAGTTGTTTGTTTATAATTATGTAAGTTTCATTTTTTGTTTCTTCAAGTTGTTTCAGCAGCTGTGTAAGGGCTTCACAAGAAAGCTGCTTAAAAGTAACATCAGTGTCCTTTTAAAAAAAATTCTGTCTTCGTCACTGTTAAAGTAACATTTCACTTGTAATAATTGGAAGTGACATATATATGTTAAGTAATTTGATTATGTTTAAGTTGATCATCAGTGCAAACATCGATTAGTGCCAATAAGATAGTCACGAAACTTGCCATGTAATTTTAAAAGTGATGTAAACGCGCTATTTTGATATTTAACTATATACATATATATATAGTTTCATATATATATCATATTGCAGATAGTATATATATATATTACAGCATATTATTGAATATAAATCATCTACTGATCTTTTCTGAAGTCAATGGGCATCTAAATAATAAAACAAGATCAACTCTCTGTGTTTAGTATTAAATATGTTTTTGCAGCATCACTAAATATTCCATTATAAAGTAGCAAAAAAGTGGTATTGGGTGTGGTTAAGAAACACATTAGAAAACTACTTTCCACCACTCGGATTTCTTAAGACTTTTAATATGTTATAGAGGAGATTTTTCTGAGTAATAACCTTTTTAAATGGTTTCTGTTGCAATTTGTTTGAGGTTACCCCTTAATTTTTCACATAATGCCTGTACTAATATGCATGCATGCACAGTGTGTTTCCAAAAAGTGGAATTCTACTGTGGGACTTCAATAGCAAAGATCATGAGTAAATCGTACATATATGTATCACAGCTGATCTCTTATTGTGAATGGCATGTACACAGCAGTTAATTAATTTGATGTGTGATACAGTGTGCATCTGTGGCAATTTCCTAGGCATTATTTCACACATGCGTAATAAAAAAAAACACCAACTGAGAGCTTCTGAGAATAAAGCATTTGATCATTTATTTGAATGATAAAATGTCTTATTGTTACATTATCGGTCCAAACGGATAATGTTGCAAAAATTGACAGATAATGTTGCAGAATGTACTTACACTACATTGTATCAGTCCATTGTTGTTACATTATCGGTTAGTGATACAGTATCAACCTCTTTCAAACAGCCGCCAAGATCTACAACCGTCTACTTCTTAATCGCATTCGTCCGGAAGTTGAGAAGATACTCCATCGCAATCAAAGTGGCTTTCAGCCTCTACAATCAATGTTTTCAAATCCTTGCCTTCAGACGCCTTATTGAGGAAATTTGGAACCACCATCATTTTCATCGATTTCCGTAAAACATTTGATTCTGTTGACAGACAAGGTTTAAGATCTTGTATGCTTACGGTATCCCGGAGGAGACTATTCATACCATCAAAATTATGTATGAAGATTACAAGTGATGTTGTTCTCACTCCCGAAGGTGAATCTGATTCGTTCTCAGTCAACACTGGAGTTCTTCAGGGTGATCCTCTCGCCCCCTACCTATTCATCATAGTTCTGGATTATGCCTTGCGGACAGCAATAAATGTCACTGATGGACTCACTCTCTCACACCAAACGAGTTCTAGACACCCTGTCCAATACCTATCCGATCTGGATTACGCAGATGAAATTAGTCTGCTTGCTGACACCCTCCATGATGCCAAATCTTTCCTCCATAAAGTAGAAACTTGCTGCAAGACTATTGGTCTCTCTCTCAACGCAAAGAAGACTAAGCAGTTTTAGTCATCAACCCATCTACCTTTGACGACATCACTGCACTGGATGGTAGTAAGCTCGATATAGTTGATGACTTCAAGTATCTGGGTTCCTACACCAACACGGACGTTGAGTGTAGAAAAGCTCAAGCTTTGGTCTCACTGACGAAAGTCTGGCGATCCTCGATCTCCAACCATCCCCCTCTATGGTTGTGAGTCCTGGATCCTGACCAAACAAACATCTCCCTAAATCCGTTCTATACGGTGCCCTTCCATCTATCTCCACCATCATCAGACAGCGTCGCCTTCGGCTAGCCGGTCACATTTTCCCGCCATAATGAGCCAGCTAGTCATGATCTTCTCTGGAAGCCCGATGCCCCTCGTCGTAGAGGTCGTCCCAACATGACCCTGAAAACATCCATCGAGTTGGAGACTGGTCTGAGCGGTCCATCTCTTTCCAACACATTGCTTGATAGGGACAGATGGGCCCAACTCGTCAAGCCATCACAAAAGTGAATGAACAAATTTGTTGTTACATTATCTGTTGGTGATACGTTATCCCTTGATTATTACATTATCGGTTGTAACACCCTCCCCTTCCTTCCAAAATGTTCATTAATACATTTTGATTTGCAACCTCTTGTGGTATGGGCTCCGTGCACCAACAGAGGGCGCCCTTTTACCTAGCAACGACGTCCCATGAGCGGTTGACATGCACCGTTCCTTGTGTGTGGCACACGTACACCAGGGGATTTGTACTATATGTACATGGAGTGGTACATGGTACGGCAGCGTGTCGCGACAAAATTGCAGTCAGGCAAGATGGCGTCGGTCGGTCACCCCCAACTGTGCTTTCTTTGCCAGTGAGGGGGTACTTGTGAATGGAGCGGATTATCCAAATTTGTCACTTGGACAAATTATTCTCATTCATGGTTCTGTATTAAATCGATTGCAATAAACTGAATTATGTCAATTGGTAGCGGTATTTGAAAAAAGACCAAAGCCATTTTTTTGTATGATGGTTTTGGTCCTAACAGAAAGAAATGATGGTTATTCTTACATAAGTTTTTGTTTAAATGACAGTATACCACTAGAGCAACATAGGATACTTGATCCTTTTATTTACTTGTGTGATATTTCATAATATTTTGACAGTTCCATGTTTGATTGTTTCCAAATGTTGTCCATTACCATTAAATCAGATCCAAAATGGAAAAAAAGGCAGTGTTGGCTTAGGTTTACATATTTTCTACAGGAATTTAGATTTGTTTGAAATGTCTGGATCACAAGAAATCCACATTCATGTATCTCACACTAATGGACAAAATGTTGAAAACCCTGATTGTTTACGTCTATTTCTAGCAGTAAATACAACCATCAAATTTTGAGCCAACTGCCAACACTATATAGTGAACAATTCACTGTATGTATTATCAAGTCCCACCCGAGATTCAGACGTACACAAATGACAATCCTAGCACACATTTGAAGCAACTTTTTAAGTGCAGTGCCAGTCCTTATCACTGTACACATTTAATGCATAGTCAGGACCTACATGTAGGCTTTATGTTTGCTATAACCAGAATTTGTATTAACAGTATTTGTATTAACGTGAGTAGTCGACTCAGAGCCCAAAAGGGCGCATTCCACATGTAAGTTCACTTTTGTCTGGAATCCACCCTTTGTTTTCTTTTTCTGAGAATATTTATGGATGAGATCTCTGAAACGCTCTCATGTTCAAATCTTAAGACAACACACCACATCAGCCAAGGAAGGGTTAGAAGTTCCATAATAATTTTGGTATCCATGGCCAACAGCACTAACAGCTTATACCAATTATTCAATAGTACACAAATATAACATGGTTTGAGGGTGGACAGTCGATATTCGCTTCCCGAGGTATTGGAAGTAATACTGAGGGGAGCTAATATCAACTGTCCACCCGAAATAAACCATGTTATGTATTTGATTTACTATACCTCATACATAATTCAGTTGCCAAATTTTCCTGTTGCAGTATGCACCTCGCGGGCAAAAATTCTTCAGAGAAACTTGTCCAGCTCACCAGAATATTATTGCTCAACCTCCGAAAAAGTTCAGTTCGTTTGCAATACAGTAACTACGGTTGTAAATACAATTGTTTGTGGACAACTTTTTTTTAGTACAGGAGGCATCTTTATTGTCCACAATTGAGCTCGGGAAAATGCTACTTTTCATTTATGTGTGCAACCATCTTTTTATGTGTAGCTAGCTAAGGCGATGTTCGCGCGTGCGTACTTCACCCGTGCGACAGTTCCACGATTGCTTCATAAAGCACATGCATAGTAGACCGTCGCACGGGTAACCTGTGCGACGGTCTACTACGCATGCGTATTTACCCTGTGAATACTCGCGCGTGAATACTTGCGCATGAATACTCGCGCGTGCGCGCTTGGTAAACAGCAAAAATAACATCTGGCACGTGATGGTGAATGGACCAGTGAGAATTCGATTTTCGGTCATGAATATGTAAGAGGTATAGTACCGGTAATTCAATTTAGGCATTGAGCCTTTTTTTTTACCTGCTCCTCTTTTCTTTGCGTCTGCTGAAATCCATCTAACACACGGATCCCCCTGGACATAGCGAGCACACCATGGGACATCAAGTGTTGTTCCTTGCTTAAAGAATAAGCCCAGAGCATAACGAGCTGAGTAGCGGACGGATTGAAGATGGGATTTTATCAGGCTTCTCTTTGCTGCGAATTATTGGAAAAGATTAATTACATTCCTTGCCATCAAAACCCCAATGCACATTTCTAAATGATGCTAGTATTAGAGATGTACATGTACATGTACGTATTTGGCACAGAAAAAGTAGTTTGTTAAAGACATGTATTTAATGAGAAAAACCTTGCTTGAGTGAGGAAGGCACTGTAACTTTTTGAAATTCTGTTGCCTAAAAAGGTTTCATTTGGAAGAAAGCAATAACTGAAGGCGGTGTTGCAAAAGTGCATGGGTACACTGTAAAAACTTGTGCATTATTTGTTAAGTACTGCCAGGATCCACTGAGACCTCGTCGTCATACATTGTGTGCTGATTTTAGGGACTGGAAACGCTAGCAAAGAATTTCCTTTTACAAGACCCAAAAATTATGTACAGCTTTTCTCTCCCCCCCACCCCCCCAAAAAAGTTTAGTATTTAGTATCCACTGAGCCAAAAGTAAGCAAGTAAGTTGTTTGGCTCTCTACTTAAAGATACTGAGCAGTTTTGTTGGGTCTAAAAAATGCACAAAAGCAAATGATCTGATGTAACCTTAAAATCACCATATATGTATTATAACACCTCACCCATAGACTCTGTGTCTTGATTGGCCGAGAGCGAGTCGCATGATACTTTCTATTTTTGTTATCTTTCTGTGCACGGCCAAAAGTACTATCAACCAAAGTACTACGGTATTTCCACGGTGCGGTATTTGTGTGCAAAAGCATGCTGGTGTGCGTGTTGCGCGTTTTGTTCCAAAGAGAGCACGCCACAGAGTTGGGGTCCAAACATTTTGCGAAGGAGTAGTTTGTATTTAGTTTGGAAGAGAGAAATACATTTTCCACCAATTTTGTATTGAAATTGAAGTTTATTTCGACTGTGTTCAGATTTAAATAATTTAAAATATTAAAACCAAGCAGAATCTGTGGGTGAAGTGTTATAAAACAAATATTGAATGCTTTATCTCGTGGTGAAGTAAAACTAGCCTCCCTCAGTGATCCATGGTTTAATAGCAATCAGCTTTCAAAATGGACATACTTGACTGTCACGAATGCTAACTGATGCCTTTCAAATCACATTCCACATAAACAATTTACCTAGTGCTTCCTGTACAAGGCCTTTTTGTTGGAGGATCTGCTCTGTTGGCATGGTTAGGATGACTGCATCAAACACCTCCCGGCTCCTTCCTCCTGACACTTCCTCCTGTGGATTAGCCACAATCTTAATCATAATCCCTTTCTCAGTACTTGTTGGTTCTACTGCTGTTCCATCTGATAGTGTGTCAAGATACAGCTTCACTGATGGAATATCTGGTTGGGCTGACTCATGAACATTACTTGCTTCCAGTTTTGAAAGGAATTGTCCATACTCTACTTTAGCACCTGTTTAAACACAAGATGAACAAGTGACAAATTAATTAGAATCCCACAAGCAAAAGTTGAATATGGAATAATGTAGCGTGTCTGTGTCCCACGTACTGTACATGTAGAACAAGGCTGAATGGAATAAAGATGCACTGCAGTTTGTTTTAAATGTTTCCCCACTATGTCCCATGAGCACAAATACATGTAAAAATTTGTTCCAAGAAAATTTGAAGCACAGTAAAATTTCATCAAAAATAGCCATCACTGTAACTGTATTCCTGCTCCCCATAAAGGTGCTGTACTATAAAGAGCAATTAATACGTGTACATGATATTGCCATGCAATACATGTCATTCAGTATGGGATGTCATACTGTTGTGTCCATGGTAAAAACAATCAGGGAGGATTCATTTGTTTTGAAAATTAATTTAGTTTTCTTTCTCAAGCTGGAACAAATCAGTTTGTTATACCATGGTAATAGATTGTGAATTTTTATTGGTCCATCACTGATCACGTGTCATGCCACAAACACGCATGTACGACGACGTACGGCGCGCGCGTGGTACATGAGTGATGTTCCCCACGGAGTACATTACCTTTTTCTTTCCCACTGTCATGACTGTTGAAATGTCGTTTCCACTGCGTTGTATTATATTTGTGTGACCTCGGGTACAAGGTTGTATGTAGCTATGCTGGTACTATGTAAATCGATGTACGTTTTTACGAGATGTGCCATGGGAAACAGGTGACGCAATATTTCTGCTATGACCGCCATTGTTGTTTACATCGTTCGTCACTCTTCATCTGCTTTTTTAACTGTGCAAATGTCGCCGTAATTTCACCGTTATATGTAGGCAGAATGACAACAGGTTGCCTCCAAAGAAGAGGTTTCTCTCTTGTTCCAAAGACAAGATCAAAAATTCGATTTTTCAACAGGACAGCATCAGCAGTTCAGCACAAAGAAAAATACTGAAAATTCTGTGCGAAAAGTTCGCCAAAAGCAGCCAATTCTGTACCGCAACAGAAAGACCCACAATTTCAGACGTTAGTAATCTATTACCGTGGTATAACAAAACAATTGTTGCCTGCTGTGACGGGGTCCATGGTTTTTGTACACTCCCTTTAGCCAGTTGGGGAAGACCTCTTTAAACAAACACAAAAGCAAGAGGAAAAGTGGAGAAGGGCCCTTAGAACAATGTAGAAAAGAGCGTGAAGCGGTAAGTCAGCTACAAAGATATCGCTGTCCCTCAGGACTTATCTGCCATGTTTGTGGTCAAAGATGCACTCCAAGATTGGACGCATCAGCCACTCAGGACCCTTTATAAATTCTTCTCGGTAGGCCATCATACTCGCTTGAGTTGATTGATGGCGGTCAATATACACATTGGGCATATAATAGAACAACCTAGAGTGTATTTATAAACTTCTCTATCTTCGGTAAGAAAATATGCATAAGGGGAGGTCAATTTCACTGATTGTTACTGGAAGCTAGGTGGCGGCATTAGACTTAAAGTGGGTTGGACTCTGTAAATAATACAACACATACCTGCAGGCCTTTATATTTGTGATTCCCAGAGAGCAGGAATTCCAAAATTTGTCTGGTATACATGTAGTTGAGGCAAAGGATTTTTTTTAAATGTACATAGGTAATTTTGTTTTGTAATTAACTTGACGACTTAATTTTGACGTTGAAGCAAGATATGCAGTGCGAGTCAAAAGAATGTGACCAGGATTAATTTTTTTCTAAGTTGGATATACATGTACAGGGCGAGTAAAAAACGAGGAAACCCAAATGGTGCCCCCTATTCTTTAAAGATCTAGGATATGAAAGCCCAATTAATACGCTTTCTTTTAATTGAAGAATCATTAGAATCGCTTACGTACTTTTGCATTTATGGAGTTTTTAACACAAACACCGTTTGTTAAAGCTTGTCCACGGATCACAATAAAGATTAGTGATATTTCAGCAAAATGAAAACTATTCACATCAAAAGGACATCAGAATATTCTCATAACCATGATAACTGGCACTTATCATAACATTTATTTAAAAACCTGCTGCTTCCAATGTTAAAATAACATGCTTTATAATGTCAAGAGTTTATAGTTTTGCCCTGCCTTCTACTTGGCTACCCTGGAGACTTACATGTATGGGATTATTCTGACATCATTTTCAGAATACGACATGGTTTTATTTTTACTGAAATATCACGTACCTTAAATGTGATCCGTGGACAAGAATAAAAAATAGTGTTCGTTTTCAAAATTCCCTAACTGGAAAAGCACATGAGCGATTTGAATGATTGTTTAAAGAAAGCTTATTAATTGGGCTTTCATATCCTAGATTTGGAAAGTGCTACATGCAGAAATTCTTTAAAAAATAGGGGGCACCATGTGGGTTTCCTTTTTTTTTTAAATTTTAAACTCACCCTGTACATGCCAATGAAGCACATATTAAATGAGCATGTTCTTCCACTCATCTGAAAAAAAAATGAAATTGATCCTTGCTATCAAAAATAAAACACATTTTACTAAATAAAACCATTTTCACAGCTGTCCATGGAATGCTAAATGCACCAAAGGTTACACGCAGGCATTCAAATTCAGACATGGTTGAATCTGAGTCAAGACTGAAACATTATTTTTACTGTCAGATTTTGTGTTTTGTAATAGATTGTCCCCCATACTTCAAAAAGTGGGCGGGGGGAGGGATGTGTCCCCCTGTCCCCCCCCCCCCCAGGATTGATGCCAATGAGCACAACTGATCATCAAAAGGTGAGTGTACAAATTGCTGGGTTGGGCAAGTGTCATTTTGAAGTTACTGATCCATTCCAAGAACTCAAACATGTAAAAGATAGAGAAAAGATTGCCACTGGCTACAAAGACTTAGCAGAGCTGAAGGCTATGAAAGACAGCAAAAAGGGACCACAAAAGTGGAGGTTTGCTAGAAAATAAAAGTACCCCTGCACCCCCCCCCCCCCAAAAATGAAAACAACAACAAAACACAAAAGACGATGAAGAAAAACTAAACTGGGCCACAGTGAATAATTATGGACCATGTGGGTCTCCATAGATAGTCGCGAGCGTATAGTTAAAAAACTACAAAACCGGAGCCTGTGTAAAACGGGCGCAGGCCGATTGTATGTAGTTTGGGACAATTCTTTCAAGAAACTGTTCAGCTGTACATACATGTACATGTACATTGCACTTTTGCTAGTTAGCCAATATTTTTTGTTGGATAGAGCCTAGAGGGCAGGTTTTGTTGTGGTTGCTTTTTTTGTGATCCAGATCATCGTTGACCCAGCATAGGTTGACTGTAGTCTTACTCGTACGTTTCAACAATTTCAACTAAATAGATGTAAGAGTGTTTTGCTGCCCAATACCATCGATAAATTTTGCAAAAGTTGAAAAGAATTTGGAAACACAGATGAAAGTGGCCTAACAAGGGGGATGAAAATCGGAAAAAATATACCGATGATATAAGTGTGTGCATTCCTCGCCACATTTTTACATGATGTAGCCTACATTATCAATAAACTGTGCGCCCAATTCCTGGAGAACACCTCCTCTTGTTTTGTAAACAAAATGTTAGGGAAAATGCTCAGTGTTCCCCCAAAATTACAAAGTCTTAATTAAGTTTAAAGTAACGGATTTGTCAACAGCTGTACTTCATACATGTACCGTACGTGGTGATCGTCAAGTTTCTTCAAACAATTGCTACTGAATGTTCAGTGTTATTTGTCAATGTCAAAAATGTTTGTCAGCGGGCGTTGTAGTGCACCTGGCGCACGCACGCCTTTGAGCGTGTACGCAGCGTTTACAAAATAATTGTTCGATTTCATATCAGTTTCTTCACTGTTTTTACATGTTTGTGAAATAAGCATCGATCAAATAGAAGTGTGCTACAAATGTCAACAAAGTCGTAAGTTAATTGAAATGCTCTTTATTGATTTGTTCATTTACAAACTGTGCATGGATATTTATGACCAAAATATGATGCAAATACTGTAGCTTAATTGGAACTTATCGCAATGTTTGTATTGTTTTACATATTTATTGTTACAGATTAAACGAAGTCATCACCCGCCGTGTGAGTTTGTGACAAAATCTTATTGTAGCATAAGCCGCCGTCGTCGGTATCTTCTACATTATTTATGCACTCTTCGCCACCCTCACCCAAATTGGTTCATCATCGTGATTTGTTAAGCACCACAAATTTGATCCTCTGTGGTGGTACAACCATAGCTCCATGATACATGTGGCTCCAAGGAGTGGTACAACAGTACTAAATGATCTGCAATCTCCGAAAATAACGCAACATGTGGACTTTACTTTATCACATTGAAACACAATCCCTCTGTTACCAGTGCGGACCAGGCGCAGCAAGGATGAACCGAAAGTGCGCAGCAGAGGGTGAATGGCAGAACTGCCAAAACACTCAATAGAAAACACTCAATAGAACAGGTGCATTTGGAATTTTTTGGTTTACTCTCAGACGCTGACAAATTTAGTCAAGTCAAATGTTTCAGTTTTGCGAACGCTGCATACAACAAATGTCCAATTTAGTACTTAAATAACATGCCAGTTGTTTGCAATTCGCCCAGTCCCAAACTGAAGATATACCCGTAGTAGATTACCAGGAAAACAACTTTGTGTCTGCAATATGCCTCAGGCCAGTCATGTCATGCCATGTTGTTGTGTTAAACTTGTGATTGTGTTGTTCAGGAAAGGACATGATGTTTAACAATGGTGAAAACAATTTAAAAGGTAATTTTACAAGAAATTAAACAACCAAACAGGTTTCCAAAACTTGCATAATTACAGATAATGTGAATGTTAAACTATGAAAATGCAATTAGAAGTTTCTTCCACTCTCAGGACATTACATCTCAAATTTACAAGTAATATTTAGAAAACAAACACAAATTTTGATTGTGCCAAATGGTCTTAGGTTACATGTACACAGAACATATAGCCAGTTTTTGTCAGTATAGAGCAAATAACTGAGACATGATTAA